GCAAACTTGCACGGATGATACACTTAGGACACTACCAGACTTGCTTCAGATGCTCGATATGACCTACATTTTCCGGATTAATGATCAGGTTAAAGTTTTTGGAGCAGGTTCATTGTAAAGTAGGTATAAGTCATAATATGTTGTACAAATGAGGATGCATACTAATAGACTTGCTCCGAAAGCTGAATCCGACAAACATTTTCCAGATGTACAAAGTTCAAGTTTTTACCAAGAAACTATAAGGCCTATATTAACCAAACTTAAATGGATATTGGCATTAAGGGATGGTCACTCTCATACTTACTTTTGATGTTGGATTTGAATTACATTACATTGATGCTCTGGCATACTATACTAAATAGACAGCGATTCCTTAAATATTTTCTTTTATAACGTAATGATTAAAAAAAACAGAACTTTTCTATTTTGAACAATAATTAATAGTCTAACATAGATGTATACCATGATTAAAATAATATTCTCTAAATATAAAAAAAGTTCACAGTTCCTTTCAAGTTCGTACGACTCCCCACTGAGTATCTCAAGAGGTACCTGTATTCTTTAGGTACATCATACTTTTGTTTTAATCTCGGCTAAGTGTTTGCAAGGTTAAATGTGAAGATCAAAAATCAAGAGCACCATTAAAAATCTTTGTCTTTTGTCGAAGGCTCGTATTAACTTGAGATATAACTCGATTTATTCTTACAAATCAGGAAAAAATGTAGGGAAAAGGTGACATGTTACAGAAGCGACTTTGCAACGGTATAGATTCCATGGCAGTCCAATATGTTGTTTCACTTAGTTTATTTAGATTAAAGTAGTAGAAAAGCAATTTATGCATTGGAACAATATTGGCAAAAATAGAAATACACACCCTTCATAATGAAATTGATAAAACATGATAAGGTGAAAAACATTTACCTTATAAATTGTGGAATTTGCAAGACCACTACAGAAGATCGAATTAAAATTATTTAGGAAAAACCTTCTAATATAAAGTCATGTAAACTTGTTTTTATCGAGATTTTGTTCCATTCATATGGAAACACCATCACTTGCCGGTGGCGAGCTGTAACTTATGATCAGCACTATGGGCCTTTTGGCAGTGAGGGATCTTTCTTGTATAAACACCTACTGAGAAATGGGACCTTGGTTTCTACTGTCTCATCCGATTCTATGATTGTCTCCACTGAGTGAAATATTGTCGATTTTTTTTTTTGAAAACTTCTACAATAGTAAGCAAATATCAGTAAAGTAAAAGATGAAATAGGTGTCTCCAATTTCTGGACGATCTTTATCTTTTTATCTCTCTAAGGGGTTTTGAAAAACTACAGCAAACAAAGTACAGGACAAGACAAGACTTATAAAAATCTTTTGCCCTATCAAGGACTAGTTGGTGCAGAGAAAAAAAAATCGAATAATAATATTAATAAGATGGAGACCTGGATATTTGCCATCGTTTTCTTTCTTGGCAATGTTTCTCAGGTATATATAAAATGCTATTAGTATAAAAAAAGTGGATGTAAATACTAGTATGTACTGTAGATATCATATATCAAAATCAATCAGAATATCATTTTCGAGTTGCATATTGATAACCATGTTGTTAATATATACCGTTATTACTTATGTATTGAATCAGTTTTAGATATTCGTGTTGTTTTAAAGGTCTATTAATTTTGTGCCTGGAGGATTTCCAGAGAAAACAAAAAAGGCTCTGCATGAAAATCTTTTGTCATTGAAACTTATTCATATTTTTATTGTTCATTGGGATAAAGATGAATGAATGCTAACTTCCCATTATAAACATCGTGTGTGTTCACTTATATATATACATGTATATAAAAAAAAGAGTTATTGTAGATATGACTAAAGCACATTAATTTGAGAATATTCATAACATTGAAATTTAAACAATTTAAATATGTACGACCAGTTCTATTTCAAAATGTTTAAAAACTCTGAAAACGTTTCATTTTCAAGTCCACTAATGCATATCATTATATTTTCTTCATATCATTACTATTAATGTCACCTTATACTGATAGGTTACAGGAGACTATGACGTGTCAGTTAAGTTACTGGAGTACAACAGAGACCCGGACTGTAGTTGTGATCCTAAAACAGGGTGGCTTTTTTCTTCAAAATGTAACGAATGTGACGTTTATTTTCAAGTTTGTCTGCAACCTTTACTACCGACACAAAGGTTAATCTCTCTCTGAATGAATTTTATAAACAAAAGTTTTCTTTTCATAAAAAAACATCGAAAAAAATACGAATTATAATTTTTAAATAAGCACATTCTTAAGTCCACAGTCTGATTTCACAGTCCTCTTACATCATGTACATCTTCATGGACAATCTTTCAAATTATTGAATACTGTTCGTTATCTCCATATCCTTTATGGAAAAAAAATGTGTGGTTGAATTTCTTTCATGCTATGAAGAAAAAGAAAAAAAAACTCAATAAGTAGAGATTTTATTGCCTAAAACAAAATACTAGTAATAGAGTTTCGAGAAAATTGAATTCAAGGAAAAATTTCTCTATCTATTGTATAAAACATTACGTGAATCGTTTTTTTTTTTTTTTTTTTTTGCTGAACTTTCTTCAGACAGACGTGCTATGGAAATGATGAAAACCAGCGAGTTGATGACACACATCACTTTTCATTCTCTAACACTCTGAGAGACGCTGATTCCTACTCGTGGAGGAACATCAGGGGACAAGTAAATATTATACAATGAAACCAAAATACAAGTGATATAATAAAATATGTCATAAATGTTATAGAGAGAATCATGTTATTCCTTTTCGTATTGCTTTTTTGTGCACAGCCCTCTTTTAATGTATCAATCCATGCATACGACTACGATTCTCTCGGTGACAATGATGATCTTGGCGTGACAAGCTTTGTGCACAGAGGGAATACAGCTACGGGATTGATCTTCGCCACAAGACCCGGAAATAAAAACTTGCGGTGAGAAGAAATAAGCTTATTATTATAAAATATAAATCTTTTACTTTAATATAATGGTTTTCACTTAACAAAAGTTAATCTTATTAGATAGTTTTTAATTTACAAATTATATCAATCAATAATTCAGAGTTTTGTCCGAGACATCAATCATTGAAGTTTATTTATAAATGATGCAAAACGTTATAGCAGCCCTGAAGACCGGATAGCTCTATGCATATAAATTTAAGTTTTTTGTACGGGGGTTGAGATGGAAGAAGATATTCAGAATTAAAGTCAACTGTACATTAAAAAAATTATACATAAGAATGTTCTTTCCCTTTATAAATTACGATATACACAATATTTAAACAAGAAAAATGTCGAAATGTGTTAAATACAGGTAAAATACAGTATGTTTTTCGTTTATATGTAAAACATATTGATAGCATGTAATAAACAGATGTAACACACCTGTGAGAAGAAATATATATTAAAATATATTATATATATTAAAATAAACACATGTTGAACATAATTATAAATATTATGTGTGGATATATTTCTTGTGTACCTCCATGAAGTACATCTTTAATTTTTTTTTTCATATTTGATATGCATGTATAAAGTTGCATATCATTTACTATCGAAAAAGAAGACAGGTCCCCTTTTTAGAACATAAAATTTTACCATTCTCTACCCTGAGTTGTCACTATCGCTTTTCTCCCACATATCAACGCTTGTTATAGAAGATTCTTGGAAAAATTTCTTTTGATTAAAAGTTGAAAAAATAATAGTGTTTAATTATATTTTTTTTTTTTATCAGAAAACACTATATATTTTAGTTTGTTACACCTTAAATGGATCTTTATTTCAGATTTTAATTTTTACTCCATAAAATAGTTCCCCAAAATCTTTGAAAATAAGTCGTTGTAAGTGATTATAGATTTAAAATAAATAATGAATTATCAACTTTATCAATATTTACAATAATTAATTATCATTCGAATCTTCGCTGTGTGAAATTTGTACAAGAGCGTTGACAGAGATGTGACCGTAGCGAAAGATAACTGGATGGAGAGTGTAAATTTTACTTATAGCATAAAAACGTACGCTGTACCCAGTTTGTGTTTTACATGTATATGAATTCATAAAGTCAAATGATATATATGTTTGCTGATAGGCGATCCAAGTGTCTTAAGAATTAATAAAGTTTAAAAGGCTTTCGATGATGAACAAAAACCGACCAACAAATTTAAAAACGACAAATACTATGCCAACAATAACGACTAATACAAAAACAATTTTGAATACAAAAGCGATGGCGAACACTCCAGCACCAGCGAATAATAAAACTACATCAACAAGATCTTCATCAAAGTCGATGTCGATCACTCCAGCACCAGCGAATTATAAAACCCTCAAAACAAACTCTTCACCCAAATCGATGGCTTACGCTCCAACACCAGCAAATAATAAAACTCTATCAGCAAAATCTTCATCAAAACATTGGCTAACACTCCGACAACTGCGAATAATAAAACCCCAACAACAAAATATTCACCAAAAACAATTGCTTACACTCTAACACCAGGGAATAATAAAACCCCATCAAAATCAATGTTCAACACTCCGACACCAGCGAATAATAAAACTACAACAACAAAATGTTCATCAGATGTAATGTCCTACACTCCGTTACCAGCGAATAATAAAACTACAAAAACAAAATCTTCTTCAAATACAATGGCTTACACTCCAGCACCAGCGAATAATAAAACAACAACAAAATCTTTATCAAAATCCATGGCCAACACTCCGATAGCAGTAATTTTAAAATCTTTTACAACAAACTCTTCACCCAAATTGATGGTTTATGCTCCAACACAAGCGAATGATAAAACCCCATCAAACAAATCTTCACCAAAAACGATGGCTAACACATCAATCCCAGCGATTTATAAAACTCTATCATCAACAAACACTACTCCATCAACAGTGGTTTTTACTTCTACAACAACAACAACAACAACAACAACGGACACTCCACCTAGAACACTAACAAGAGCAACGAGTACTTCAACGACAAAACAGACGCCCATTATGCCTACAAGAACAAAAACGGTCAAATTACCATCAACAGCGATTACATCTAAAACCACCTTTATTGAGGTAGAGTAAATTTTTTAAAATCCAAATTATCAATGCATAAAATGTTTTTCATAAAAAAATTGTTAGGCCATTTAATTTTCAAACTGAATTTCCTGTTATTTCCCAATCATGTCAAGGAGCACACGTCGGGTGTGACCGGTCGGTAGGGGATGCTCAACTCTTCATTGCACATGATCCTATCTCTGATGTTTTAGAGGTCCGTGTTTCCCCCGGTTACTGATATTTATTGTTTAAACGGACTGTGTATAACATATATTTATATTTAATCAAATGCATTGCAATCTTTCACATAGAAATGGCTTCCTGTAATTGTCGGTGTTTCTGCTGCCGTATTGTTAGTAATTATTGGTGCTGTTACGTGTTTGTGTTTGACAAAATCAAGGTAATATCATTATTTTATTCTTAACGATATCATATTCAAAAACTATTTCACTTTTAAAAGGTGTATATTTGTGTAATAAAACTATATGTGTTTGTATGTTTGTTTTTCAGATTCCGTCGTATCAATCCTGAAGTTTAAATCTAGCAATATTTGATGGATTCTAAAAAGAGTGTTCATATTTTCACTAAAGTAAAGGTGACCACAACTCGTAACACTTATTATTTGTTCTGTCCATATTGTAAAAACGTGTTTTTCAATATCGTTATTTAGGCTAATTACTGAATTTAAAGGTGCATAGACACAAATTTGAAGTTAATTTTTTCTGTATAATATCACGAATTATATTTTGTGATAGCTTTTCACACGAAAAAATGATAAATACTGAGAAAAAGTAATCAAAGCAATTATGTTGTATTTTAATGAAAAATATTACAATTAAGCAAGAAAAATAATTCTTTTCAGAGTAGAAATATGTGAAAGCAAACCCCTTCACAAGTATCGTCATTCCGCGCTTAGTGTTGTGTACAGAGTTTAGCAAATTGAACACACCCATTTATTTGACGTACACATTTCATGTAAACAGGGCAGGAGCTCTGTTATCATTACGGTTTATGATGCATCGGATGTGTTCAATTAATTGTTAAAGTGTGCTCACCATTGCACGGACTGACAATATACTGTGTGTATGTTTTGCTATCAAACATTTCTACTCTGAATTTTCTGGATTATAAATAGTTTTAGTGGATGAAGGAAGTGGAGATAAAGAACAGTATTCAATATCAAAGTCCATAAAACAATACATAAAGCAAACGCGCGGATCTCCAAAACATTAGAAGTGGAGAAGTGAGCAGTGAGAAGTGGTGGTTAGATTACCAGTGACGTCTATTTCAAGCAAATATCCATATATAGATCAGATGTGTCATAATCTGTGGTATTTTTTATCTCAATCTAACCAGGATATCATAGTTAAATCCACCTGTGACGCCATTCTTTTGTTTGAGCGGTCCATTACTTTTAAGGAATAGAGAGTTGCAAATTACATTGTCAAAGACATCATTTCGTAAGTTCTATGGTCGATACAATGACCTTGTCAGCAAATACAATTTATCATTGAGTCAAATGCTGACTGACGTTTTTCATACCAATTGTTTATACAATTGTTTATACACTGAATTGACGACGGATTTCTTCCGTTATTTCCTGATCATGACAAGGACCACACGGCGGGTGTGACCGGTCGGCAGGGGATGCTCACTCCTCCATGGCACCTGATCCCACCTCTGTTGTTTCGGGGGTCCGTGTTTGCTCTGCTCTTATTTTGTATTGTTTTATGGACTTTGAGATTGAATACTGTTCGTTATCTCCATATCCTTCATTGAAAACGAAATTTGTTATGGTCTTATTCTCCTTTCCGTGCCTCTACCAAGGAAAGAACTTAGAAAATGTTAGAGAAGAGTTTTAGAAAATTGTAAATGTTGGTTTCACATTAAGAAAATTAGAGCACCCGTGATGAGATTCGAACCCGAAATCCTCATCATAGCAGTCCGATGCTCATTTCACTGAGCTAACGAAGCTGTGAGACATGGATTTACACTATTTTTAGTTTTTCTTTCTATATTATATATAAATAACACTACTAATATGTAAAAAGTATTACAATGTATCATATTAATATTCTTTATTATGTATTAACAAACAATAAAAACAAGCATTCAGAAAGGCGGATTTACGCAGATTAATATACTCGTAGCACTCCATTCCTTAAAAGTAAATGGGTGCAATTAGTACCCATGCGAATTTCAATAAATTATTTAAGGGCCTGGTCTCCAAAAACCACATGGATATTGTTATTTAAAAACTCTAGCACTCTGAGTATATATATATATCAGTTGATTCGTTACCCAAGAGCATGCTCTACGTATGTACAATTTTTAAAACGAGGTAAATCATTGACAAACAAGTTGCTGAAGCAAGATTGTCAGAAGTCCCATTTAAAGTCATCATTTTGTAAATTCTGTGGTAGATACAATGACCTTGTCAGCAAATACAATTTATCATTGAGTCAAAGATGAAAGATGCATGTGAACAGGTGTTACGCTATTAAACTTGATTAAACTGTTAGCTTTTAGTTTAATCTTTGTAAAATTATTATTTGTAAAATTATGCCTAGTCCCAAACTGAAAATGATTATCGCATTTTAGGAAAATTTATTATTGAGTCAAATGCTGACTTATTTTTTTTTCATACTAAATGTTAGTCCATTATTTATACACTGAATTGTGGACGGATTTTTCCGTCATTAACCGATATTGACAAGTAGCACATGTCGAGTGAGACCGGTCGGCAGGGGATGCTCACTCCTCCATGGCACCTGATCCTACCTCTGCTGTTTTAGAGGTCCGTGGTTGCTCTGCTCCTATTTTGTATTGTTTTTCGGACTTTGATATTAAAAACTGTTCGTTATCTCCATATTCATCATGCATGTATTTTGTTCTTCGTTATGTTCAATATTTTGACATTATATTTAGATAAGAGGAGACAATATTTTACATAAATCAAGGGTAAAACAGATCTGTTTGTTTCTCTTACAATGATAAGCAATTAAACATAGATGTAGACCAGATTTGTTCTACATGAACGTTGTTCGATCCTATCAGGTTCTAACGACTTCCCACTGAGAAACTCCAGAGGTACATGTATTCTGTATGTACATCATACTTCTGTTTTAATCTCGGCCAAGTGTTTGCAAGGTTAACTGTGAAGATAAAAATCAAGTGCACAATTAAACCTCTCTGTCCTATAAATCTTGAAGACTCCTTGATGTGTCTATACTTGAGATAAAACCCTATTCATTCTTAACAGTACAGATTCCAGTATAATATGTCGTTCTCCTTAGTTTCTTGAAATTAAAAAAAAATTGCGTATGCAAATTGTTCTTTGGAACAATATTGGCCAAGATAAGAATACAATATCTTTAAAAATAAAATATAAAAAAGGTAAAATGATTACTTTGTAAGTATGTTAACGTATACAGATATAGAGTATTTTCCCAGAACAAATTATGACATAATTGTAGCAAACATCACCACCTTATGCAACATTGAAATCATCTATATTTTTCGTTTTCACTAGATCGGAGGTGGTTAAAAAATAGAAAGACGAAATGTTCTATTCTAGAAGTTGTGTATATCAGATGCGGATTCCAAAAAGGACAAAGAGAATTTTTTAAAGAAAAGTTAAAATTGTCAAACTTCAAAAATCAGTAGTCAGTAACATCAAACCGTACGTACAATTTTTTACACTGTTAACGATGATCATCCATTCCTCACAAAAATAATATAAAAAATTTTATCAAGCTGATCAATACATTTCGGCTCAAGGCGGGTGTGACCGGTCAATGGTGGATGCTTACTCCGCATAGGCAACTATTTACACGACATTTTCGTTTTCTTCATTCTTCTCATTTTACTCAATTTGACTGGATCATTGAAGTCAGCTTATATATTTCCCTTTTCTCAAAATTTGTTTTTTCGTATTATATGAGCTTTCACGCAAAGTATTGTAAACAATTTGAACTTGTCTGAACTACAGCAATATATATACATACCGGTATTTAGTATTTAGGAAAGTGATCTTAAACTCCAAGATAATCTCAAACTTTTTTCTTTGCAAGAAGCCTTGAATTTTACTGATATTGATGAATTACAGGTGGTCGAGTCCTCTTCACAGCAATTTATGGAGTTTTTGTATGTACACATCTAGAATACAACGTTTTACATCCTCAGGTAGTCTAAAATCAAGTCATTGTTTTAAAATCATTACTCAATCACCTTCACGTAGGAGATCAAAGTTATGCTCAGGAATAGAGAAGACATATTCAAAAAAAAACTCTCCAGTAAAGCAAACCCATTATTAGTTATATTGATAAAGAATTACCCTCAGTTACTGCAGATTCAAGTTTGGTCAAATTACGTTTTTTTTCTGAGATTGGCAAGACCAAAACAGAAGATCAAATTTAAATCATTAGCTAATTTACTTTTTTCTTGTTTAACACCCCTCTTGAGAATTCTTTCACTCTTACGGACGCCACCACTTGTCGGTGCAGGGCTACAAATTTATAAAATGGTCGGCAGGGGAATTGGGCAGTGAGAGATCTTTTTCGTTACAACACCTTTTGTGAAATGGCACCTCGGTTTATACAGTCTCATCCGAAGGACCGGTCTCCATGTCCTGCTTTCCAACCTGCGTCGTAAGGATCAGCTCCTTACTGGGACTCTAGAGCCGAGGTTATAACAACTACACCTGAGCGACAAAATAATGTCAACTTAGGGATAATGTCTTATTAAATCTAGGTAAACAAATAACTAATTCTCTTTTTTATAACTTTTTTCATTTATCTTAATCCATCAGGAAGTTGTGAGAATTTCTTATACTGCACGTCGAATAAACGTGCAAAATTCCTTGATTGTCTCCACAATTGAAATATTTTGGTGATTTTTTTTCTGTAAACCGCTATGTTACAAAGCGAAATGTTATAGAAATGACAACGCAAAATGTAATAACTATATCTACATAATTGCATTTTGCGTGACTAGATTTGGCGTCGAGATCAACGCAGAATGTAATAACGCAAAATGTAGCAACACATGTTTTAAGATTATTACATTTTGCGTTGATCTCGATGCAAAATGTAATAACGCAAAATTTTATAAATCCCCTCATTACATTTTGCGGTGTTATTACATTTCACATTGTAACACCGCTACATTAGTATTTAAATATCAGTAAATCAAAGATTAAAAATAGGTGTCTCCAACTTCTGGAGATCTTTTTCATTGTAGCTCTTTAAGGGGATTTTAGAAACTAAAGCAAAGTACAGGACAAGACGAGACAAAAATCCCTTTTCACATTTAGAACTGGATGGTGAAGAGAAAAAGAAAGAAATAATGATATTATTAAGATGAAGAATTCGATGTTTGTCGTGATTTTCTTCCTTTGGAATGTTCCTCAGGTAGATATTAGAATTTTTAGTATATGAAATGAATGTTATAAATGTAGACTTCGTTTGGATATTTTCTCGATTAAGTCAGAAAAGTATACACTAAAAGATTCCTTTGCCAAATGTCATGGACAAAATTCATCTGAAGTAATTGAGCAATGAAGTCTAACAGTTTTAATGACATATCTTAACTAAACTGTGAAATAAATCAGGATTTTACTTGAGTAGCATACTTGGAGTAATATTATATATTACATGTAGTTATCTATAAAATCGGCGTTGTTCTGAAGGTTTTTAATTTTGTGCCCGGGTGGAGGATGTCTAAAGAGGAAAAATAAGCTCTGCATGCATACGTTCAAACATCTACATAGTTTATAGCTAAAAGAAGATGAATGAATTACTAGTATACTTACCCATTGTGTGCTCTTTTAGTCTGGTCCGATTTATGGAAAAAAATACTTCTAACGGCAAATAATCATTATTTGGTCCAGCATAGTTTTTTAACCTAATTCGAGTATGCTGAATCCGAAAAATATGCTGGCCTTCATGAAAATGGCGTTAAATAGGTCAAAATGGCGATTCAAAATGGCGGACATCAAATTTTTCTAATTTACTCTTAATGTCGTTCAAAATGGAGAAATAATGAGTGAATATCTCACTGAGTGTAATAAAACTATAAAAAATATAATAGAATTCTAACATTATTAGTTCAACTCAGAAAATTTAGTCGTTTCTACACTTAATTCGAATTTTCTCTGATATCTTTGTATATTGTTTCTATATTCTTCTTTGCTCAGGATTTTACATTTGTAAATATCCATACACTGCAAATTTGTATTTTCCCCTTTCATCTCATTCAAAATGGCGGATATTCATTTTTTTGTCAAATTATTTCTTAATGTCGTTTACATAGGAGAAAGGATTTGTGAATATCTTACTGAGCGTAGTACAACCATGTAAAATAACAATAGAACACTGATTTTATCACTTAAATTCGGAAAATTAAGTCAATTAAATTTGAAATGTGTTAATTAGCTCAAAATGGCAATTCAAATAACTGAAGAAATTCTTGTCCGATTTCATCGAACACTTTGTTCCAGCTTTTTAGAACTTATAAAAACTTGGTATTATCCCCTAACATCTTCTGTTCCAGATTTATTTGCTAAATGTTTCAGTATGTCTACGGAATTTTGGTATTGTCAACACTCAAGTAAACTGGTACCCTATGTCAAGGATGACAACCCCCTTTGCACGTAAAAAAATCGTTCCTCTGGAGTTTGAAAAAGAGTAAGCTCACTGGGGGCCGCCAGAGAAACCACAATCCTTCAAAAACCGATTAATTAAACTGATAGTCCGCCGAAACATTGCTGCAAAATTGCCGACTCGGCGTTAAACAATATACAATCAATCAATAAACACTCAAGAAACAACACATTTATGTTCAAATGTTAAAAATCTATTTTTTTCAAAAACCTTATGCAAAATGAACTAGAGGTACTGTGAGCAATTAGCTCACTAAATGATACCCCCTTCTCCCATATGAATATATTGGCATTGTCCATGTTTTGCTATAGGAAGGCCAAAATATGTGTCGAATCAAAAAGTAACATATGAGGTGCACATTGTTTAATACATATATGTAATTAAGATTCTGTGAAATTTCATCAAATTTCATTCAATGGTATGAGAGAGGAGTTGCAGATAAGAGATTGGTAGCCCAAAACGTAACAGACGGACGTACATATCGATTACTTTATACCCTCCCGCTTTTCATGCGGGGTGGGGGTAGGGAATGTAAAAAAAAATCTCTGATATTCAAGAAATGTAGCTCTTTATTTCGTGACCGCGTATAGATTTGTTGTCTTTTCAGGTAGAAAGGTCATTCTATTAGCAAGAAAATTCTCAAACTTTATCATCTGGAATCACATTGTGTGCATATTTTGGTGAGAAGAGTTGTATAATTATGCAATTTAAGAGCGCCTGCAGATTCCTCGTGATTCCTAACACTTACAAGCTTTCGTACCGATAGGCCTAAGCCATTCTTGACTTCGATCTAGTCAACACTTCTCTTGACAACAAAATTTTCTCGAACACTCCAAAAACTTTACAAGGCAACTTGGTCCACACTTCTTTGTTAAGGTAGTGTAAGGTTGCATCAAGAATCGAGGGGGGGGGGGGGGGGGGGGGTTGTAAACACAAACTTTTCTTATTTCATATTTTGTAAATTTATTTTTTTTTTTAATTTATATACACTTTCAATACAAAATTATCCGTTCACAACGTAAAATATTTGAGAATACAGTTGACTTTTTGACTGAGAATAACAAAATGCAAATGTAGGGACACAGAATCAGAGCTGGACAATCAAAAAAATTATGGTTTACGTATATTATACTGATAATTCTTAATAAATATGTTTATATTTGGATATTACAATATGTTCAGATTTAAATGATGTAACAATTACTAGCCCTCTAAATGGTCGTGATCCATCATTTTAAAAATCATGTTGCACTAGACCTTCAACATGAACATAAACATTTATTTTTTTCTACATTGGACTATAAAAAATAGATCAAGAATTTCCAACAACTGATATGATTTAGCAACCCTCGAACTACAATGTTCATTCGCCTTAATGCTTTGTGTAATACTGTTCTTGGGATAGCTTAATTTTTATATTGTCATCAAAACAGCAATTAGCATGGAGAGACAGATAATAGGTAAAATGTCTTCGGAATTGTCAAAAATTTATCTTAATAATAGAAGTAATTAAACAAAATCCGTGTTATAAAAATCGTAAGTCATTAACAAAAATATCCTCCAACTTTCATTGCATTTGAACATTATTTTGTGAATAAAAAACAAACTGTATATTTATTTTCTCGAATCAGAATCAGGCAGTTTTTAGTATTTTACGAAATTCGAGTGTATAAGACGTCATTTGAATTGCCATTTTTCATTTCAAATTTAATTGACTTAATTTTCCGAATTTAGATTGAGAAAAAATCTGTTTAAAAATGCATATTTTTTTCAGAAAATGCACCTAATTAATTCCCTGCTTTTAGTGAAAACTATCACTGCAGAAACAAAATATGTTTTTCAATGAAGGGCAAGTTGGACTTGGATAGCCTCCGAAAAGTTGTTTTCCCAGTTTATTTTGTCCAAATGTTAAGAATCGAAAGCGAAAGTACATTGCAAATGGCGGGTTCTACAGGGGTCTCGTTTTTATACATGTCATGCTTTCAATAACAGCCTTTCAGAGACCATTCATGTCCAACTCGCCCTTCAATGATAAACATATATTATTTCTGCAATGATGGTTTTCACAAAAAGGACAGAATTAAGCAGGTGCACTTCTTTATATATGCACATTTTCTTATACAATTTTTCTCAAAAAATATCTTTTTTTAAAATATTTGTTTTCAAGTGATACTTTCTATCTATTAATCAATGATATATTTATAAACTGTAAGCATTTTGACTTTATACCACACATAGTTTTGGAGCTATTGTAAAAATAATTTTTTAGACATGTTGACCTTTGACGAGACCTTAAGAAAAGTTCTAATTCCAATTTATTTAAATTAGCTAGAACTGTTTAGTCATCGCGCAATCTACAATGAAAACCATAATTGTGATTTGCACTTAATTTTTACTAGATATACTTAACTTTTCAGGTTTGTTCAAATACGAAGGAAAATATCAGTGTAGCATAATATAAAAACTGGTGTTTCCAAATCCTGAATATTTATCTTTTTTTTTTATCTTTTCAGAGAATTTTCAGAAACTAAAGCAAACAAAGTACATTTACGATGATACTTCTTAAAATCTTTTGTTCCATGAAGAAGCGTTTGTCAATGCAAGTTGAGCATACAGAAAAAAAAACATTTATAAAATATGAAGATGAAGACATGGATATTCTTCGTGGTTTTATTTCTAAGGGACGTTTTTCAGGTATGTATTAGGATGTTATTAGTATATGGAATTAATGTAAACAGTTACATGTACTGTATATTCGTTTGGATGTTTTCTTGAATCTACATTCAAATACAATTCGGTTGTTTGCAAAAAAATATTGAATTTATAAAATAAAAAAGTATTAACAAATAAACCATGTTAATTGTGGGAAAATACATATGAAGTAAGCCAAGTCTACTAGCTCAAATACCATTTGGTGACGCATTTTCTTAGTACTCATAGATAATTTGTATGTTAAGTATGCCTTCAATTCCAGTCAATAAATGAATCAAGTTAAAATGATTATATCAAATTATATATATTATGTACATATATAAGGAAATATAGAAATTCGTTGATAAAAAACCCCTTTTACGTTCCTTTGCGACATTTGTAATTATCTGCAGTTTTCAGAGAGTCCTTGTTGTCATCATCTTGACAAAGTCCTTTTTAAAACTGTTTTAATCTCAGTGGCAAAATCTATTTTAAAATGAATTTCTTTGCGAAAACAGGCGAAAAAAATTCCTTGCGGTGATTAGGAGTTCCTAATTAGAATTTGCTTTGTGTTACAAAATAAATTTAACTTCTGCTCCATTTATTATGATATACTGTATGATGCATTACTAATCGAACGACTCTCGTATTACCACTCTTCGAAATGCAGATTCTGTCATTGTTTTTCTGTCGTTGTAATTTTATATTATCATTGATTTTCTCATGAAATATGAAATATTTTGATTGATTTCCGTGTTGACTAATGCATAGCATATTTTGCATATACCAACACTATAAATGAATGTCACTGTGAACTGAAAGATTACAGGAGATTATGACGTGTCAGTGAAGTTACTGGAGTACAATAGAGACCAGGACTGTAAGTGTGATTGGACATTATGGGGATGTGGCGAGTGTGACGTTTATTTTCAAGTTTGTCTACAACCTTTGCTACCAATACCAAAGTAAATCTTTATCTAGAATATATTCAAAATTAAAGAATATATGATATTTAAAATAAAAGAATATATGATATACCTATTTATATAGAAAATGTCTATGTGATGTCTGTATGCACGATGAAATGTGGGTTGTAATACAGATAAAATGTTGACTGAAAAAATTGAATTACGCAATTTTTTTTATTAAATATAATTTATCAGATTTATGTTTTTCCTTTAGACAAATGTGCTATGGAAATGATGAAAACCAGAGAGTTGATAACACACATCACTTTTTATTTTCTGACGCTTTGAGAGGCGCTGATTTGTACACATGGAGGAACATCAAAGGGCAGGTATATGTTCTATATAATATTTATATAATATGATTTATTAAAAACATATTATAAATGATATAGGGTCAAGCATGTTATTTTTCTTTTTACCATTTTTTGCGCACAGCCCTCATTTAGTATACCAGTTTATGTCTACGACTATAGTACTGTCGGTGACAATAATGATTTTGGAGTGACAGGTTACGTGTACAGAGGGAATACAACTACAGGATTGACAGTTACGACAACACCCGGAAGTAAAAACCTAACGTGAGAAACAATCAAATCATGTTACACTCTTGGTTTCGAAACTAAGTTTTAAATGTTGAAAGGGAGTAAATCTTTCAGATTCAAAAGAGTTCTTTTTAATTTTTCTGTAATATTGATTTATGATATAAGAATCGTTTTAATCGTGATATTAGTCAAGAAATTTTGTTCTAAAAAAAAAGAGATTAACTTGAATAATTCCCTTGAAATCTAGTAAAACTTTAAATATTAACTCATGTTTAATAGTTCTTGTTTCCGTTATCTAGGATCAAATTACAACTGATAATTTCTTGCTCGACAAATTATATTGGTCAACAGTGTGAGCAGGAAACAACAATGAGTTATAAAAGGACATCAATAACTAAAACAACAACTACAGGAGAAGCAACAAATACACAAACAAAAGCAACAATTCCGACAACCACTACAGCAACAACAACCATGAAGCCAACAACAACAAAAACCATGAAGCAAACAACAACAACGACCACAACAACAACAACTTTGAAGCCAACAGCAACAACGACCACAACAACAACTATGAAACCTACAACAACAACAACTACAGCAACAACAACCATGAAACCAACAACAACTACTTCCACAACAATTACAACCATGAAACCAACAAGAACAGCTACCATAGCAACAACAACCATGAAACCAACAACAACAACTACCACAGCAAGAACAACCATGAAACCAACAACAACAACTACCACAGCAACAATAACCATGAAACCAAAAACAACTACTTCCACAACAATAACAACCATGAAACCAACAACAACTACTACCACAGCAACAACATCCATGAAGCCAACAACAACTACTTCCACAACAATAACAACCATGAAACCAACAACAACTACTACCACAGCAACAACATCCATGAAGCCAACAACAACAACTACCACAGCAACAATAACCATGAAACCAACAAGAACAGCTACCACAGCAACAATAACCATGAAACCAAAAACAACTACTTCCACAACAATAACAACCATGAAACGAACAACAACTACTACCACAGCAACAACATCCATGAAGCCAACAACAACTACTTCCACAACAATAACAACCATGAAACCAAAAACAACTACTTCCACAATAACAACAACCTTGAAACCAACAACAACAACTACCACAGCAACAACAACCATGAAACCAACAAGAACAGCTACCATAGCAACAACAACCATGAAACCAACAACAACAACTACCACAGCAAGAACAACCATGAACCAACAACAACTACCACAGCAACAATAACCAAGAAACCAACAACAACAACTACCATAGCAACAACAACCATGAAACCAACAACAACAACTACCACAGCAAGAACAACCATGAAACCAACAACAACAACTACCACAACAATAACCATGAAACCAACAACAACTACTTCCACAACAATAACAACCATGAAACCAACAACAACTACTACCACAGCAACAACAACCATGAAACCAACAACAACAACTACCACAGCAAGAACAACCATGAAACCAACAACAACAACTACCACAGCAAGAACAACCATGAAACCAACAACAACAACTACCACAACAATAACCATGAAACCAACAACTACTTCCCCAACAACAACAACCATGAAACCAACAACAACAACTACCACAGCAAGAATAACCATGAAACCAACGACAACAACTACCACAACAATAACCATGAAACCAACAACAACTACTTCCCCAACAACAACAACCATGAAACCAACAACAACAACTACCACAGCAAGAACAACCATGAAACCAACAACAACTACTACCACAGCAACAACATCCATGAAACCAACAACAACTACTTCCACAACAACAACAACCATGAAACCAATAACAACTACCACAGCAAGAACAACCATGAAACCAACAACAACAACTACCACAGCAACAATAACCATGAAACCAACAACAACTACCACAACAATGACAGCCATGAAACCACCAACAACAACAACCACAGCAAGAACAACCATGAAACCAACAACAGCTACTACCACAGCAACAACAACCATGAAACCAACAAGAACAGCTACCATAGCAACAAAAACCATGAAACCAACAACAACAACTACCACAGCAACAATAACCATGAAACCAACAACAACCACTTCCCCAACAACAACAACCATGAAACCAACAACAACAACTACCACAGCAAGAATAACCATGAAACCAACGACAACTACAACCACAGCAACAACATCCATGAAACCAACAACAACAACTACCACAGCAACAATAACCATGAAACCAACAACAACTACCACAACACAGAAAACAACACCTACAACAACCATTACCACTTCGCCAACATTAACAACCACTTCACCAACAAGAATTAGACAAACAACAACCATATTTTCAACAACTTCATCAAAATCAACCATATCAACAACCTCCAATAGGATAACAAGAAATACCTCGCCAACAACAATTAATAACCCATTAATGCTTCCTTCACAACACAAAACACTAACATCAAGTTCAACCACGACATCATCAATTAGCAAACAAGCTAACCGACCTTGGAGCTATGGCAATATCAATATAATTATGTTTTTCCTCTCTTTGAATTAAAATTATGTCTTTATGATGTTTGGTTTAAAATGAAAATTATGTGAAATAATTATAAAAGTACGCATGAATATATAATGGAGATAACGAACAGTATTCACGACCAAAATTCCATTTAAAAATATAAAACAGGAGCAGAGCAAACACTGACCTCTGAAGCATCAGAAGTAAGATCAGATGCGATGGAGGAGTGAGCATCCCCTGCTAACCGGTCACACCCGCACTGTACTCCTTGTCGCCATGATCGGGAAATAATAGGGGGAAAATAGTAGTCAATTCAGTGTATAAATAATGGACTAATAATTAGTATGAAAGCATTTGACTTAAGCGAGACTGCTGATATTCTTTTTTCACCAACTTGTTTTTCAAGAATTTTCCTCCTTTTAGAATTTTTTCATACGCAGCGCATGCTCTTGCTGAGATATATATACTCCGTATGCAGGTGATGAAGGTATATTGTTGCATAGATAAGGGAAGTAGAAAAGTTAAAGTCATCACATTTATCATAGAGCTTGTTGTAAGATTACCATTTACGTCTTTTTCAAGTAAAATATCCATATATGAAAGAAATTTGTCAGACTCTGTGGTATCTGATATCTCAAGCTCATAAGGATATGTCAAATCGACATAAGAATGAAAATTACCATTGTTAATTGATAATACGTCGCTGATATGTCTAAACGTTGAGTTGAAGGCGACAGCAAGTACTTTCTTCTTTCCTTGCATAATCTGCTTCATATGAATACAAAAATAGGGATGCTATTAAATTTGGTTTGTAATACAACTTCATGCACTGGAGGTACGTTTGATATTTATAGATAAATTGATTTTCTTGCAATCATGGAACAGCTGAAGGAAATTTCTTGTTGTCTTGTTTTTTAAGTAAAGAAAAAGCAACAATCATATACTGTGCATATTTTGTTTTATTTTCCACGATTAAAGCATATTATGCGTCATCAGAGAGGAACTTTAGGGATTTATTTTACCAACCGTGGTGCTTAACGTCAATATTGGGCTTTTATTCGGCTACAAGTGTAATCGCCACGTCGTGTTCGCTTTTAATACAAGTGGGAGATCATGCGTATACAATCTTCACATTCACATCAGAACTGAATGAAACCCATTGCTCGATTTTGGGTTATAAAGTTGCCAACTAAACGTATACGTTACTGCTTCTGTTTCTCACACACGTATAATTATCATGCTTAATTTGTCAGTTTGTTCACCTCTAGCCTTAGGTAGCCAGGATTTTTTAAGACTTTCTTGCGAAACAACCTCATAAATCCACCCCTCTGACCTCTAAAAAGTCCAACATTTTCTCCAATCGAGCATCTGTGGGACAAATTTGATAGAAGGATTTAACATCGTCGAAATATTTTTTTTCACAACAAACTAAGATTAGCCTTTTCCGAAGGGTTAACTAATATATCAATGTGAGAAAAGTAAATTTACTAAAAACTTCATGCAGAGGAGAATGAAAGGTATTTTTTGTATTGTTTTGATGAACTTCTGAGTTTGATTATCGTCCGCTTTCTCGATATCAAATGTGTAAACGTCACATTCCATTTGTTTTTTAGTACTTTGACTGAACTTTTTTTAACTGAAAGATATGAAATTATGTCGATCAAAACTCTTCTGCGAAATATTATTTTATTCTATGGTGAAAATATAAAAGTCTTCAACCAAAGCAAAAAAAAATATTCTATTATCATTTTGTTTTCTTTCGTGGTAAACAAGTTCTAAGTTCAAGTTCTAACAGCTCTTAAAAATATCATATATTGTATAACCTTTGACTAAAAGGACTTCATTATATTAGTTTTAAACAGTATTTGAAAATTCTATTCTTGATGCATTTTTTCACATATACACATGTACAGGGTCTAATGTTGACTGCCATTCTGAAAACAAATATTGATAACATTATTTACATATCATTTTTTCGACGCAATAATCATTTTCTTAATGAAGACAAAGAATGGTGGCGCATGTATGATGTTGACAATAAAAATTTACATCTTCCTGACCATTACAGCTAATTATTTGCACCTTTTTTGTTTTCAGGAATCTGGTTCTGACTGCTCTCAGTTTTTAAGGTTAAATCAGATGCATGTATTTTGATCTTCCTTTCTGTTCAAGATCTTCACATTATATTTATATAAGAGGAGACAGATACTAATTTATTTTATTATTTATTTAATATTTTACATAAATCAGAGATTAAACAAATCTTTTTTCTCTTTCAATGTTAAAAATAATTTAACACAGATATAGACCAATTAATATAAAACATTCTCTAGATATAAATATGTTCATTGTACCTATCAAGATCTTACGACTCCCCCACTGAGTATCTCAAGTACATGTATTCTTTAGGTACATCATACTTCTGTTTTATCTCGGCTAAGTGTTTGCAATGTTAACTGTGAAGATCAAAAATCAAGAACACCATTAAACCTCTTTATCCTATAGATATTCAAGACTCCTTTACAATTGTTCTGTGGAATAATACTGGCAAATAAAAAAAAAAAATTTTATAATAAAACTAATAAAGCATGAAAAGGTGAAAAAAAAATTACTTTATAAATACATTAACATAAAGTGTATTTTCAAGTACAAATTATGATATCCTAGCTTGTAGCAAACATCACAAACCTTTTGCAACATACAAATCATTTATCTTTTCGTTTCCACTAGATCAGAGGTAGTAAAAACGGAAAGACGAAGTGCTTTATTTGGTACTTGGGTATATGAGTTGCGGATTCTTAGAAAAAGACAATTATGAAAAGAAAGTTGACAAATTTCAAAAGTCAGTCGTCAGTAACATCAAATCGCACGTACAGTTTTTTACACTGTTAACAACCATGCATTCCTCATGAAAATATAAGTAAAAAAACCTTCAATAAGAAATATGTTGTCAAGCTGATCAATACATAGAGCCCACGGAGGCTGTGACCATCAACAGGGGATGCTTACTCCTCCTAGGCACCTGATCCCACCAGGGATTCGTGTTTATATAGTTGTACTGTTTGTATTTGTACTATAAATTTTGAAATCGATTACTTGTACTTTCGTAATCTCCATTCGTCCTATTTTATTCAATTCGACTAGATCTTTGAAGTCAACCATTGTATTTCCATTTTCTCGAAATTTGTCTTTCATAGGATATGAACTTTTTAGCAAAGTATTGTGAACATGTTGAACTTGTCTTAACTACGTTTATATATTTAGTATTTATAGGAAAGTAATCTTTAACTCCAAATTAATAAATCTTAAACTTTTTCTTTGCATGAAGCCTAGAAGTTTATTGAAATTGATGAATGAACTTGAGCTCAGTCCTCTTTACCGCAGTTTGCGGAGTTTTTGTATGAAGACATCTAGAGTACAGCGTTTTATATAGGATTATATGATACATTCATATCTTTAAAAATCTTTCTAGTATATAGCAAAGCCATTATTAAAGTTTTGTGAAGAGACTTACATGCTCTTTTTTAATCAACGACTGACCTTTACAATTTAAACAGAGAACAACTCCAATTTCTATCGAATGTTAAATTATTTTTTCTTAAAACTCCATTAGTCATATTAATGAAGAAGTCCCCTCAGCCACTGGAGATTCAGATTTGGTAAAATGTTGTTTCTTGTAAGATTGTCAGGGCCACAACAGAAGAAAGAATTTAAATTATTTAAGTAAAAGTCTTGCTTGTTTCTTTATTTTGTTTTACGCCCATCTTGACAATTTTTTCACTCATATGGAAACACCACCACTTGCCTTTGGAGGTCTGCAAAGAAAGAGGGCGTATAAGGCGTGGACAATCCTCCGCTCTGAGAAAAAATGTCAATTTTTCAAAGTTCACAGAAAAGTAATCAAATATCAGTAAAGTAAAAGATGAAACAGGTGTCTCCAATATAGGATTATTATTTTATCTCTTTGCTTAAAGGGATTTTAGAAACTAATGCAAACAAAGTATAGTACAAGACCAGACATGAAAATCCTTTTCAGAGTTTAGAACTGCTTGAAGAAGAGGAAAAAAAAGATATTATTCAAATGAATAATTCGATGTTTGTCGTGATTTTCTTACTTTGGAATGTTCCTCAGGTAAATATTAGAAATTTTAGTATATAAAATGATTTTATAAATGTAGACTTCTTTGGGATATTTTCTCGATTAAGCCATAAATGTATACAATATCAGATTCCTTTGCCAAATGTCATGGACAAAATTCATCTGAAGTAATTGAGCAATGAAGTCTACGAGTCCGAAACAGTGTAAATGATATATCTTAACTAAACTGTGAAATCAATCAAGATTTTATTCGAGTAGCACACTTCGAGTTATTTTACATAGTCCGTGTAGCTATCTATAAAATAATTGTTGTTCTAAAGGTTTTTAATTTTGTGCCCGGGTGGAGGATGTCTAGAGAAGAAAAATAAGCTCTGCATGCATACATTGAAACATCTTCATATTTTTATTGTCAATTGACAAGAAGATGAATGAGTAATACCTACTCAATATGTGCTCTTTTCTGAAATGAAGAATTATTGTTGGTTAGGGTTAAGCACATTAATTTAAAAATATTTATAAAATTGTGATCTCTTTTAAAGCAAACTATTTTTGAGTTATTTGTTTTAAATTGATGTTTTATTTGAACAATGAAACACAAATAGAAATAATGAACATTATTTAAGCTCAAAAGTTTATTAAACAATACAGAATAGAAGCAAAACAAACACGGAGCTCCAGAATATCAGAGGTGGGATCAGGTGTCATGGATCATCAATTATCACTTATTATGATTAAAATTCCATCAGATATTTAGCCTTGTATGCTAAATATAGGCTTATTTTCTGAATATAAATTATAGATATAATTTGGACTATTATCAACAGAATATGATATTAATCAAAATTATCAAAGAATGCTGTATACAGTGTTATATTTGCCCCGTGTTATTTTCACCATTTTATACCTGTTTACAAATTTGCCTCGTTTTAAATTTGCCTACTCCCAGGTCTGTTTAAGAATTTATACTGTGTTCTTTGAATTCGCCCTGTTATAAATTCGCCGACTTGTGACAAGGGTGAAAGGAGCGAATATAAAACGGGGGTGAAAATATCTTTCGCTGTATACAGTATTTAATAACATCCATTTTATTTCACAATGTATTCATTTTTATTTTCCTCATACATATGTATTACAAACAGCTTAAACTCTTTGATTTTACGTAGCAGATCTTTGAGGCTCTCTTTATTACCCTTTGATTTCAATTAAAATCATGTATATATCAAAAGAATGGATGGACTTCACTGGCTAGAAAAAAATCCGTAAATTTAGGTTTCATAAAATTTTGATTTTTTTTTCTATCATATTAACCCCAGAAATCTTAACTGTGTCTTCATGGTACAGAAGGGAATTTAAAACGCTCTTTTCTGGGTAAACTTAATAAATATCGAAGATATGGTGCCTGACGATTTCTTGATTATCAATAAATAATCATGGTCACGCGTTTTTCGTCGTCTGAATATATAGTCAGTGCATGTTTGTCGGCTGTTCTTAAGAAAACTGTAGTTGTATACATGTATTGAACAAAATAATGTCATATTAAAAAGTGCCGACAAACGTGCGCTCAAAATTAATTTAACAAAAAAACATGTTCAAAATAAACTTCTCGCTTTCATTGTTATGACTGCGATCGACCTGTTAAATATTACAATTCACCACGTGATGTCCACTTGCGAAGTGTAAAAACTCGTCAAAACAGTTACATTGTATTCTTCTACCTGACCTCGTTCTGAATCACGTCTCTGAGCGTGTTTGGTTGCTGTTTTCAGAATTTAGCGAATTAAATTTTGTTATAATTTTGTTTGTCATAAAACTTATTGAATAATTTTATATTGACATCGCTGTAATATGCTAAACACGTATTCGAAGTTTTGGAGAGAAATATGTCAGCAATGACGCCGATCGATAGCCCCTCCTCCAATAAACATTGATTATGTGACCTAAAAACCACTCCGAGTACATGTCAAATTTTGAATGACGACACAAGTATCGTTGCTTCAATTTTGATACATGGCAACAGGGCACTGATTTTGTTCAAATGTTCCACCTAATATAACCAAGTATACGTAGCTCTTTCCATTGCTTGTAACATATTTTGGATTCGCTTCATTAACAGCTTAGTAGACGAGCCGCAAAAAGATCCAAAATAGGACATTAAGTCAACCGATTCTTTAACTTAATCTTCTAATTTATTTAAATGCTGAACAATTATAGTTCTCCGCTGATCTAAAGAACGAGGGCGCTTTTGATTGGCATTCGGCAGGAATCTGGGCGTAATTGAAAAGTGAAAACTTTATCGAGATGTCACATGAAATTTTAACATTCTTTTTATTTATCGGGTTCTTGCATTTGTGCAACAGAAAGGAAAATACTTTCACTAAATTGAGCTTTGAATTGCTAAAAACTAACTTGAAAGTTGGCCAGAGCAGACATTTGGTACAAAATGGTACATTTTTAAACACGTTTTCCTAATTTTTTTCTATCTCTGGGTCTTCTCTCTATAATTTTGAAACGTTATTTGTGTGTATTTTGATTCAATGGAAGGGATACACTTTTTAAAAAAATAAATTGAAGACCCAGAGACCACGAAAAATGAATTTTTCCTTAAAAAATCCAAATGTGTGAATGTGGTGCTTCTTTGTCCTTTTATAATATTCTATGTATGTCTAGCTTTGATAGCTCGGTATGTAGGGCTTCCTGTTCAGTGCACTCAAAGCGAAAAGTTTTTGGTTCAAGCCTGGCATGGGGAGTTGTTTTTCTTTTTCCTGCAAACGATCATTTATTTTGCCCGTTTCGTTTTATGTTCTGATGTAATAAAATTTTGAATTAGATATATTTTGATTCAGTTTGGTTCTCGAGCGAAATCAATTCTAATCTTCTATTCAATAATGTACATGTACAAGTATCATGCAACTATGCATTAAATATTTTGGGTGTTGACTTTTTGTGAAACATTACTATGTTATAGTACCATCTAGGAAAAACGGACATAAATGTTACAATTTCACAAGGTCTTTCAAACTGAATGAAAAAAAACCTATGCACGTGCTTGTAAAATTTGACCAGCTATGTTCAGCAAACCAAATCATGGACATTTAAACCATAAATGTTTCGTACAAATGATTCCTGCAGATCACTCGCCAAATGTGCCCATCTTCTTTTAATGCAAAGATCCATTCCAGTAAATGTGCTATCAAGCCTCTTTTCTTCCATATATTTCACGTCACTCTTGTTGTTATGTACAATATGTAGTGACGACATAAATGAATTTCAAAAGAATTAAACTTTAATTTTTTAATTGATTAGGGGGTTTGATTTCTAAGTCGACTGGTGCATAACAATATATATTCTCTAAACCAACACTAATTTTTCCATATATCCTGATAGATTACAGGACACTATGACGTGTCAGTCAAGTCACTGGAGTACAACAGGGACCAGGACTGTAGTTGTGATTGGGGATGGGGATGTCAAGAGTGTGACGTTTATTTTCAAGTTTGTCTGCAACCTTTAATTCCGACACAAAGGTACATCTCTCTTTCTCTCCCAAGCTTTAGGATATTTATTTCTGAATAAATTTTGGTAACAAAGGTGTTTTTTGTAATTTTTTAAACAAGTGCATTCGGAAGTGGAATGTCTGATTTCACAATCTCGAGGAAATACGAGGATATTTTTGGTATTATATAGGCTAAAGAGATATTGTATATATTGCAAAATATCATGACAGTTAAAAAAATTAATTTAAGGAAAATGTTTGCTTATCTGTTGTGTACTGCATTACGTGATTAGTTCTTTCAGACAGTTGTGTTATGGAAATAATGAAAACCAGCGAGTTCATGACACAAATCACTTTTTATTCGCTAACGCTCTGAGAGACGCAGATTCCTACACATGGAGGTGCATCAAAGAGGTATGTATTTTACAAATAAACAAATTTACAAATTTAATGGATTAAAGTCAAATATATTTTACCCTTCTTATTACTTTTTTGTTGTCAGCCCTCATTTAATATATCAGTCCATGCTTACGACTACGATTCTGTCGGTGGCAATGATGATCTTGGCGTGACAAGCTACGTGTACAGAGGGAATACAACTGAGGGACTGACCGTCACGACAACACCCGGAAATAAGAACTTATCGTGAGAAGAAAATAAAACTGATATTTTTTTGGCTTTATTACTAGGGTCTTCACTTATCAAGAGTCAATAATATTAGATTCCTCCTTGAAATCTTTTATTTTATTTTCTTGTTATATCAATTAATGCTTCAAAGTTTTACCCGAGACACAAGTCATTAAACTGTATTGATAAATGATGCAAAATGGGATTATTCTCACATAATACCTGCTATTGTTTTATAAAATTATATATTCTATGTTTTATAAATAATTATTTTTCTTATCTAGGATAAAAATACAACTTACAGTATCGTTTTCAATTAATAATTCCGCTATGCACTGTGAACAGATAGAAAACGCAAAAAAGACCACACAATCAACATCAATTATTTCAACGACCTTAGAAAATATAGAAATAAATACATTATCAAAATCAACTTCACAACGACCACTCAAGACACCAACGGTTAATACACCAAGAACAACGATTAGTAAACCAACAACAAATACTTTCCCAGAAAGAATGACTAACACACCAGCAATAGCGACAAATAACCCTTCAACAACGAACATTTTATCATCAACAACAATCACTCCACGTACTACATCAACAACAACAACAAGAACGACAGTTTTACCTACAATAACAAGGGCAAGAACAGTCACACTACCGTCAACAAAAACTGGACCAAAAACATCAACCTTTATTAAGGTACATTAAACTTTCATGAACAGCTTATCATTATGTCTAACACTGAAAGGCTTTTTAATACTGATTGTTAGGTCATTTAATAGTGACATACTAAACTGTAAAAAAAAATCTGTTATCTTCCGATAATGACAAAACAGCTCAGGGCGGGTGTGACCGGTCAGCAGGGGATGCTCACTCCTCCATGGCACCTGATCCCACTTCTGATCGTTTGGAGGTCCGAGTTTGCTCTGCTCCTATTTTGTATTGTTTTATGGACATTGTAATGGTAATTAATACCGTTCTTTATCTCCATATTCTCCAAATAGACTTTGAGCACGAATAGTGTTTGTTAGCTCTATATTTGATGTATTATTTTTTAATGAATTAATGATTATTGTTTGAGACATATATTTATATTTAATCCTATGCACTATAAACATTCACACAGAAATTGATGCCTGTAATTGTCGGCGTGTCAGCTGCCGTATTACTAGTTATAATCGGTGTTGTAACGTGTTTGTATTTCACAAAAACAAGGTAATATCTTCAGTAAATATTTTTACTAAATAACACATCTGTCATTTTTCAAAAGATTTAATTTATATATTTTTTATATTTAAAAAAATATATATTTTTATGATTTTTTTTCACAATCCGTCGTATCGATCCTGGAATATAAATCTTACAATTGTTGATGAACTTGAATAAAGGTTTATACATTGTATTCAAATTTTCAATTAAAGGTGAATACGACTCGTAAAGAGCTAAACTTTTGTGTGACCTGCTTATTAGTTTCTTTTAAAAATGTGTCATTAGTAATCAATTATTAATCATATAATATTCCACCCAATTTGTACACGATTTGTGCACCATGTGTAAAACCCTGACTATTTAGGCATAGTGCACGCAAAACACAACACTATTATATAAATAGCATTTACTGCTCTGGTACACTTTTGAGTATAGTGGATTTTTTTTTCAAAAAAGCAAATTTTAATATAGTTTTAGCAAATATCAAAATATGTTCACCACCTCAAGTTCAAAGTTGATTACAAAGAACGGATTTTCCAAATTATTCACTGAAGTTTAAAAAAAAAATCTCATTGCTTAATATTGTACACTTCCTCCTGCAATTTATCTTTTTAACTGATAATTTGGACTTTAAGAATTTAGCTTTGGCAGTTCTCCCACAAACCAAATCTTTGAAAACTTACATTGATTTGTTTTTAATTGTTATGTTAAAAAGATTTGACCCACATTGTCCCCATAAACGTCACTTGTTAACATCATGGAGCATTCAGCAACACAGCTTTATTTATTCTTAAAAAAAGTAAAAGAGAAGATTCTTGAGTAACTGTTACCAGTACTTATACAGTTATTGGATATCATGTCTTAAAAGCAACTGTCGGAATTGCAATGTATACAAACTGTGCCCGAATATTAGCACACCTACATGTACTAGTATTTTGTTTTCATATGAAGCAAAATTTATTCTAAACTTATACATGGGGGAGGAGAAGAATATGAAAATAACGAACAGTACTCAATCTCAACGTCCATTAAACAATATACAAACAAGAGCAGAGCAAACACGGACCTCCAAAACATCAGAGGTGGAATCAGGTGCCATGGAGGAGTGAGCATCCCCTGCCGACCGGTCACACCCGCCGTGTGCTCCTTGTCATGATCAGGAAATATCGGAAAAAATCCGTCGTCAATTCAGTGTATAAATAATGGACTAACAATTGGTATGAAAAACGTCAGTCAGCATTTGACTCAATGATAAATTGTATTTGCTGACAAGGTCAATGTATCGACCATAGAATTTACGAAAAGATGACTTTAAACGAGACTGTTGATATTCTTGTTTCATCAACTTGCTTGTCAATAATTTACCTCGTTTAAGAAATTGTACATACGTAGAGCATGCTCTTGCGTATCGAATCAACTGAGATATATATATTCCGTATGCAGGTGATGAAGGTATGCAATGGCCTTTAATTCGACATGAAGGCGCATTTTAATTACCTACCGTTACCATTTTAATGTCAAAATGTGCTATATTTCATTTATTTTTAAGATCATGGAATATGACGAATCATTATATTTTTACCCGTGAAATATTGCAATTTATTCATTGAATAAAAATGATATCCTGTTACAGTGTGAAAGGACATCAAAATGATTTCCTGTCACAGTGTGACTAATATCAGAAATGCGGGAAAACCCTCGATATTTCCCTTCCCATCACAAAGATGTTGTAAAAAAATTCTTCCTTGACCTAATATAAGATAAAATAAACCCTTCTGACAACGAATAAAACTGTCAAAATTACCAAAAATATGTTGCTAAATCCATGTTTATGGTGTTTTCACCTTTTTAAATAATGTAATAAACAGAAAATTCAATTATTTGTAGCCGAATATAGTATATTTTCACTCGTGCTTTGCACTCGTGAAAATATCCAAAATTCTGTCCCACACGTGAAAATATTTCCATATTTAACACAAAACATTGAATATCCTCTATATATGCCCAATATCTTTGTTTTGTTTAACTCGAAAAATGAATTAAAACAATGATTTATATTTTTCTTTGATCAATGAATATCTAATGTGCTTAATGTGTATCTAAACTTTGAAATTAAAGTTTCAAAATTTCCTGTACGTTATAGAGCCTGAGGAGCAGGTGAGTCTCAAAATCAGTTGTACGACCCGTAATCTAATAGATATTTTGTTCACATGATATTGCAGGGCAGTGAGTCTAATCGTATAATTGTGAAATGCAGGTACTTTATTATCTTCTTAATTATTTTAAAATGCTTTGAAATTCACACATACATGATACTAAGTTTTATTTAAAATATTATGAATATCTGAATCATATGTATGTAAAAAAAATTAGTAGCCCTAGTATTAGTTTGAATGTTAAAAGAATTGTAATCGTAAAACTTTTAAGGAGACAGATACCGACTAATTTCAGACAAGTCTTATCAAAGTCTTATCAAGTCTTATAAGATATATCTATCTCTTCTAAAGTGTCTCAAAAACTAAGACAAATAAAGTACGATACAAATTTGTATGATCGACCAAGAATCACCCATAATGATAGAAGATAAAGCCATATATACTTGTTACAGTTCCGGCGTCTGTCTGTCTGTCTGTCTGTTGTCTGTCATGTATCATGTGAAGTGTGCTGTCTGTAAACTTTTTACTACCGGTATTTTCTCTAGAACTACTAGGGTACATGTATTTTTCTACTGAACTAAAGGGGATATTTTTCAGAATCAATCCCTCTTTTAAGGGAAGAAATTAGGAAATAATAAAAAAATCAATACTTTCCTAAAATTTCTCTCAAGAAACTATAGTATCCATGGATTTGGCTAGAAAATATAAAACATTAAATTTTATTTATCATTAACTCAAATGCTGACGGACTTTTTATATTGATTGTTAGACCATTATTTACACACTATATTGTCGTTGTCGGTAGGGGATGCTTACTCCTCCATTGCACTAGATCCCACCTCTGATGTTTTGGAGATCTGTGTTTGCTCAGATCCTATTTTGTTATGTTTAATTGACTTTTGAGCTTGGATACTGTATGTCATCTCTTATTGAGGGCAATTTGAATTTAAGTCTATTCAAATCAGCCAGTATTGTTTAATTATGTTGCATTCTACAACGAAAAAGATAATAGTGATTTTCAATTGATTTTTATTAGATATACCTTAACTTTTCAGATTTGTTCAAAAACGAAGGCAAATATCAGATATAAAAACAAGTGTTTCCAAATTCTGAACAATTTTTATCATTTTTATCTCTTCAGGGGATTTTAAGAAGCTAGAGCAAACAAAGTACACTTTAAGATGAGATTTATTAAAAATTTGTTGTTCTTGGGGAGGTGGCTGTCGATGAGAGTTGAGTTTGAGTTCAGAAGAAAAATAATTATATAAAGATGAACACATGGATATTGGTCGTGGTTTTCTTCCTTGGGAATGTCTCTCTGGTAAATATTAGGATGTTATTAGCATATGGGATTAATGTAAAACAGTAACTGTAACTATTTGGATATTTTCTCGATGAATCTACATTCAAATACAATTCGATATTTAAAAAAAAATGAACTTGAAAATTGTAAAGTGTTAAGAAAAAACATTGTTAATAATGGACAAAATCCATATGAAACAAGTCTACAAGCTAAAATATAAATCTGTTTACGTTTTTTCCTAGAAGCATAATCATAGATAAATTGCATGTTATTTTTCGATCCCATTCAATAAATTGATCATGTTAAAATGATTACATCAAATTAGATATGTTGTGCACTTGTATAAAAAAATATGGAAATTAATTGATAAAAACTTCCTTTTCGGTTTCTACGCTAAATTTGTAACAAACTGCAGTTTTCAGGTAGTCCTTGTTGTCATCTTTTTGAAAAAGTCTTTTTTAAAACAGTATTAACCTCAATGACAATATCTTTTTCAAGATTTTCAAAATTTCTTTGCGAATACAGGCGAAAACATATTTTATTCGATGATTTTGTGACAAAATAAAACTAATTAACTGCTCCTTTTATTGCATTACTTATTGAACAACCCTCGTGTAATCACCCCTCGGATGTCCAGGTTCTAGCATGGTTCTTCTGTAGTGTCATTCTGAGGTTGCCATGATTTTCTCCTTACAAATAAGATATTTTGATTGAGTGAAATCCAAGTCGACTAATGCATGATATATATTTTCATATCATTACTATCCTTGTCACTGTTTATAGGCCTTTCAACTGCCGCTAGGGGTCTGTGTTATGAACGATAACTCACTGCTGAAACTTGTTTAAAGCAGGCTCGTGGTATCTAACTGTTTACACGCAAGGCAGTTTTTAGCATTTCCCAAGTGTTTCTTTGCTCTCAGTAGAATCCAGTGGTTTTCAAATTTAGCATCAATGTTAAACTTATTTACTGTTTAGTTGCGGACACCGGTTTACTACATATAATTAAAATTTTTAATTAAAATAAAAAGTGAAATATACCCTCCTTCTCAGTTCTAACCTTATTAAATTTTTATACTCGGTCGTTCCCCTTCGTGGTCAGTAACACAAATAAGATGATCAATTGTTGCATTTACTTTGAATATATATATATTTACACAAGAAGCGAAAAAGTGAGCACACAAAAAACATGACATTAAATTTCTTCTTCATAATAATCGTCAAAGAGAGTTAAAACTATTGAATATAGTCTGTTCCCCATTCATTTGACCCTGTTATTTCAGGTAAAGTGAAGGCATTCTCTTTCTCTTGGTCAACATTTTTGTGTACAAAACAATGTAAGGAACCCTTTTGTGTACATAACAATACCAATGCTGAAGCAGCCTATATGTCATTCCTAAGTTACCTGTCCTTAAAACACAACATCGGAAAAGTCAATTATAAATGATTAAACTTTTTAATGATGTAATTAAAGTATGCATAAGTTATTATCTTTTTAAATAATTTCATGTACCTATAAATCTATCTATACAATGTTTTTTACCATATATGCAACTTGAAAAATTAGCTGAAAGGCCTACTGTTTATTGACAGGTTACGGGAAACTATGACGTGTCGTTAAAGTTACTGGAGTATAACAGAGACCCGGACTGTAGTTGTGATAATCAGATGTTTTGGAAATGCGGCGAATGTGACGTTTATTTTCAAGTTTGTCTGCAACCTTTACTACCTACACAAGGGTTTGTCACTCTATATCTCTCAAACGTTTTAAAGGTACTTGGACACAGATTTGAAGTCAATATTTTCTCTATAATATTACAACTTATATAGTTTAATAGCAATTCACACAAAAATTAATTAAAAATCTTATTTCATTTGAAAGTTATTAAAACTTGAAATTTTTTGGCGGGTTTGATTGACACATCCTTGCACTTTCACAAATTTTAAACTTATTCTTAATCCTTGGGGAAAGTGGCAATCTTGTAGTGTATTAATTAGAAATATTAAAACTTTTATCCAGAAAAATAATTTTATTCAGAGAAGATATGTTAGAAAGCAAAATTCATTCACAAGTATCGTCGTTCCGAACTAAGAGTTGCATACAGAGTTTTGAAAATCGAGCAAACTCGTGTTATGTACACAGTTTTTGTAAATAGGGCAAAAGTTCTGTTATTGTTTATGTTTACAATTTACCGGGTGCGTTCAGTCGTCACGTCACAGTCTGCTTACCACAACTGCAAGGACTGCCAATATTTTGTGAGTTTGTTTTGCTTTCAAACATGTCTACTCTCAATTTTCTGCATTATAGTATTAATATTTTTCATTTATACACAACGAGATTGCCACTTTTCCTAAGGATTAGGAATACAATTAATTTGTGAAAGTGCAAGGATGTGTCAATCAAACCCGCCAAAAATTTGAAATTTTAATATCTTTTATATGAAATAAGATTTTTAATTAATATTTGTGTAAAATGCTATTCAAATATATAAGTCGTAATATTATAGAGAAAATATTGACTTCAAATCTGTGTCCAAGTACCTTTAAGGAAGGTCCACACTTTTACGGATCCGGTTTTGATTTTCCACACCAATATAAAATTCTAATTATCAATTATCTGTTGAAAAAATCTTTTTGGATGATTGAAAATAGTTTACCAATTATGTATTTGTTTATTATGATGTCACTGAGCATACAAAGCATTCAATATCGTTATTTATGGAAATTTTAACACTTTGTACTCTATCCATAGGAACTATGTGTCATTTATTACATACACAGACACAAAATTCTTTATTGCCTTTATGGACCTAATGGTTTTTATTTTTTTTAACAAACTAACTTGAGATCTATTTTGAATTCTTTTAAAGCCTATATCATCTTTTTGAATTTTACTTTTCTAAAACTTTTGCAAAGAATGATTGAAAAATTGATATTTCAAATATGGGGGTATACGTGTTCAAAAGGTTGTATTGTTAAATTTATCTGGTTATGCATAATTAACTATTTTTTGTAAACCTTAGATATAATTCTTGATAGTTTTAAAGAAAAAATGAAACATAAACAGTTTTTAATTTTGAGAAATATTAAAAATAAAGAATATTTAAGATTTTTAACTGAAAGACGTGGACAGATTCAACATCAATTTGTTAATGTTTTTCGAGAAAGATTTCCAATTATTCTCTTGGCAAATGAATATTTTTGATTTTCATAAGTTTTAAAATAAATTTAATGTGATTTGGTGCCTAACTAAATATAATATGATGTCCCACTTCTTTAAGATCAAATTTGGCTGTGGAAGTTTTAGAGGTATATACTCTGAAACGTGTTGTATGAAAATTCACCTGCAAAGATATGTCTTTTATGGGTGTTTAATTAGTTTATGGCTTATTTAAGCTATTCAAATTTAAAGAATTATTGGTTTGACAGAACATTTTGAAAGTACAGACCAACCTTAAGATATTAATTTAGTTCAAATATACATTTTGAGTAACTAAATGACATTTCAATTATTTAAACATTAAATATTTCACATGCAAATGAAAGAAAATGATTTTTGCACGAAAAAATGTGGATTGATAATACAGATAAAATATGTTACATACAAAAGATTACAAAATAGTAAATTAAAATCAAATGACTACTACCTTTTTTCAGACAAATGTGCTTCGGAAATGATAAAAACCAACGAGTTAATGACACGCATCACTTTTTATACGCTAACGCCCTAAGAGGTGCTGATTCTTACACGTGGAGGAATATTATAGGGCAGGTAAAATTCTACACTTTAAAACATAATTACAAATGAATACATAGCAATTGTCTGCATAATTATTTACGTTTCAAAATATTTTTGAAAGTTTTTTTTATATTTATATAGATATTTATGTGAATATTCACAAAACACTACTTATTACAATTGGAAAATAGGCTAGATATTTTCTAAGAAAAAACTTGTACTTTTCATTATAGAAATCAAAGTAAAGCGGTGAAGCGAAAGTTCATCACAGGCACCTGAAGTATGGAAAATACCCCCCCCCATTTTTTTTAATGAATAAAATGTACTTTTTCTACTTTTTCTACCGTTTAAAGAATGGCCCTATTCGGTATAATAAAGGACCATTCTTTAAACGTGAGAAAAAGTACAATCTGCTTGCATGTAACGACATATAGATGTGTTTGACGGGAAAATTTTATATTTTCGAGGTATTATACACTCTTACATTTTTTTTTTCATTAAGAAAGGGGGGGGGGGTTATTAACGAACCATACTTCAGGTGCCTGTGAGTTAATCACTCGTATCATGGAATATAATATCAAAAATTCACGCCAATTTTTTTTTCTGTTTCCTCGGGGATAGTGAACATAGGTTTACACACGGGCACTGGAAGTTAATGTAAATATATAGTATGTACATGTATAAAAAAAAAAAGAAGAAGGGTAGGACATTCTTTTTTAGGCAAATTCGGATTTGGGGTATTGTGGGCCTTTCTCAGAAGACTTGACGCGATTAATCGTTCACACATAACTTACTATCAATATATGTACCGTTTCGTTCCGCTCCAATACCGTTCCTTTGAAGAAAAGGATGTGTTTATACCTCCAAGTGGCGAAGAATTTCGCTATGCTGCCTTACTTCTCTTTTATCCGCACTGAATAAAAAGGTAAGTTTTGATTGGTCAATGTTTACACATTTGAATGTACGCTTCATGTCTATCGAGCTGGAAAAAAAATATTAAATTTTATTGTATTATTGACCAATCAATACTTACATTTTTATTTAGTGCGAATAAAAGGGAAGTAAGGCAGCATAGCGAAATTCTTAGCCATGTGGAAGTATAAACACATCTTTTCCTTCGAAGGAACGGCATTGGAGCGGAACGAAAGGGTACATATATTAATAGTAAGTTATATGTGAACGATTAATCGCGTCAAGTCTTCTGAGAAAGGCCAACAATACCCCAAACCCTAATTTGCCTAAAAAAGAGTGTCCTACCCTTCTTTTTTTTTTTATACATGCTCATACTATATATTTACATTAACTTCTAGTGCCCGTGGGTTTACAGAAAAAAACATAAATGGTATTTTTCAATTGAAACAAAGAAAAAGATTTTAGATATATTCTGAATCTATACATTGAATTATAAATTTTCTATGCAGAAAGATTTAGTGGTCATTTATCCGCTTCCATACTTATTTGAAAATTTTGTATTTAACAATGGAATTGATTTTAAAACCCTATTATTCTTTTTTATTTTATTCTGTATAAAAATTCGCCTTTTCCACTCGGTAAGCAGAGTTTTGACGCTGTTTACGGAGATGAAAGAAAATAAAAAGCCAAACATGTGTAGTATTTGGTATTTGATATACTTCATGTAATTCAGAGCTGTATATCTTGCAATTACTGTTAGAAATTAATCACAGAAACAAGTAAACAAGTACCAGTGATAGTCGTTTTACTATGCACCTCGCCACACCGACGACCAAGCACCCTTATTAAAAGATTTGAAAAAAGAATTTAACTTTTTGTCGGTGATTCAAATTAAAAAACCAATTTCTAATGAACTATTCTTCGTCTTTATAATAGGATTAAATGACCAAAATGCAAATAATATTGAATTAGATGGTTGAGAGTTGGCGCTCATAGTACTTTTTATTCCCTTTCTTTTTAACCATATTTGTGCACAGCCCTCCTTTCAAATATCAATCCATGCTTATGACCACGATGCTTTCGGTGACAATGATGATCTTGGCGTGACAAGCTACGTGTACAGAGGGAATACAAATACAGGATTGATTGTCACCACAAGACCTGGGAGTAAAAATTTACGGTAAATTCTCTTTGTTTCGAAAATATGTTTTTAAAAAGCTAACGGGTGTCAGTCATTCAGATCCATACATTTTTTTTGAAAAAAATTATATGTAATTTCGTGAAATGATTTAAGGAGCATTCTCGAGTTTAATAAGTTTATTTTTTTTTTCTTTATCTAGGATAAAATTGGAACTAATGACGTCGTGCTCTGCAAATTATTTTGGTGTTTGGTGTGATCAGAAACGAGAAACAACAATGACAACTACAGCGACATTAAGAGCTACAAGAACAACAACCCCTACTAAACCAACAACAACGATCACTACCCAAATGAAAACAGCGTCGAACTCTAAACTAACACCAATAACTACCAGTACGCTAAAACCAACAATAACACCAAAAGCAACAACAACGAATACACAAAAACCAACAACAACCAGTACACAAAAACCAACAACAACAACCAGTACAACAAAACCATCAATAACAACCAGTACACAAAAACCAACAACAACAACCAGTACAACAAAACCATCAATAACAACCAGTACACAAAAACCAACAACAACAACCAGTACACAAAAACCAAAAACAACAACCAGAGCACAAAAACCAACAACAACAACCAGTACACAAAAACCAACAACAACAACCATACCACAAACAACAACAACTACCACACCAAAACCATCAACAACAACCAGTTCACAAAATCCAACAACAACAACCAGTACACAAAAACCAAAAACAACAACCAGAGCACAAAAACCATCAACAACAACAACTACACCACAACCAACAATAACGACAAGTAGTACACAAAAACCAATAACAACAACCAGTACAACAAAACCAACAACAACAACCAGTACACAAAAACCAAAAACAACAACCAGACCACAAAAACCAACAATAACAACCAGTACGCTAAAACCAACAATAACACCAGAAGCAACAACAACTGGTACACGAAAAACAAGAACAACAACAACCAGTACACCTAAACCAACAATAACAACCAGTACCCTAATACCAATAATTACACCAAAAGCAACAACAACGAGTACACAAAAACCATCAATAACAACCAGTACACATAATCCAACAACAACAACCAGTACACAAAAACCAAAAACAACAACCAGAGCACAAAAACCAACAACAACAACAACTACACCACAACCAACAATAACAACAAGTACACAAAAACCAATAACAACAACCAGTACAACAAAACCAACAACAACAACCAGTACAACAAAACCAACAACAACAACCAGTACAAAAAAACCAACAACAACAACCAGTACACAAAAACCAACAATAACACCAGAAGCAACAACAACTGGTACACAAAAAACAACAACAACCAGTACACCTAAACCAACAATAACAATCAGTACGCTAATACCAACAATTACACCAAAAGCAACAACAACGAGTACAAAAAAACAAAAAACAATAACCAGTACACAAAAACCAACAACAACAACCAGTACACCAAACCCAACAAAAACACCAAAACCAACAACAACAACCAGTACACAAAAAACAAAAACAACAACAACAACCAGTACACAAAAAACAAAAACAACAACCAGAGCACAAAAACCAATAACAACAACCAGTACAACAAAACCAATAACAACAACAAGTACACCAAAACCAATAACAACAACCAGTACACCAAAACCAATAACAACAACCAGTACACCAAAATCAACAGCAACAACAACAAGTACACCAAAATCAACAGCAACAACAACTAGAACGCTAAAACCGCCAATAACACCGAAAGCAACAACAAGGATAATCACGACATCATCAATGACCAGACAAGCAAATCCGTCAACAAACCGACCTTGGAGTCATGGCAATATCAGTATAATCATGTTTTTCCTCTCCATGAATTAAAATTAGGTTATTACATTATTTAGTTTAAAAACAAATATGTGGAAAAATATGAAAGTTTGCATGGATATTTTTAAAGTATTAAAATATTTTTAATGTACATGAGCATGATTAAAATTTCGAATGCAAAACAATCATTTTATGTTTATTTTAAATTTTCATTACTCCATCAAAGTAATACCATTTGTCTAAAGCATGAAATATGAGTACTGTCTTTATATATAAAGTATCTGTAAGGATAAGTATATGATCACAATTTTACAGCAATCTAGGTTATAACTTAAGCACTTAAGGGGCTGGGACAACGATTTATGAGCTTTCTATACTCTACACACTAAAGAGTTCGGTTTTTGTGGCATTTTTATGAAGATAGAGTAATCTGCCCTTTGATTTTGAATTCAAGGAATTGAAATTGATAGTTTATTAATTAATTTGTGATCAAATCTAGCATTTACAGCATTGTAATAGGCTATGATAAATAGATTGAAACCTTCACTTGCAGGCATTTTGCCCATTTAAGTGAGGAAGAGTTGTTTTTAATCACATTAGTTCATTGTCTTTTCTTTTGGCGAATGCAAAGTATATATCCTATGTTAAAAATGCAATATTCAGTAGATAAGTTCAGCATTTTTCACTAGGCGGATGTGACCTGTCGGCAGGAGATGTTGACTCCTCCATGGACCTTGATCCCACCTCTGATGTTTTGAAGGTCCGTGTTTCATCTGCTCCTATTCTGTATTGTTCATGGACTTTGATATTGAATAATGTTCTTTTCTTTATATATCCTTCACTAATTAACAGCCAAAAATAAGTTTTAAAAAAATGCGGCATGTTCCAAACTTTGGCAAAATTTGAAAAATGTCTCAAAACTTCTTATAAATCTAGAGATGATTATTTGATTGCTTTTGAAATGAATTTATTTAGTAAATGGAAATATATAAATATGTACAAAATACAGTAAAACCATACGGTAATATGGTAATGAATGTTATTTTTCCGTGGGATTTTTACATATAGTTCACTGGCGTCGGAACAACAATCTACAACTGAATATTATGATTTTAATGTCATATATTACATAATTAGGGGCCCAAAGGGGCCACAATGCTAAATCTTTGACGCTTTATATCTCGAAAGCGAGAAATATTTTGACAAGTAATATTGAACAAAAGATGTTCAAAATCATGTTCTGAACAATATGCAACCTTCCATTTTTCGCTAAACGTCCCCATTAGGGAGTTGAAGGGTTGGCCCCTAAATATTTCTTATGCAAATAACTCGAAACGAAAAAGAATCTCCGAATGGTTTTTGAACAAAAAGTGTTCAAAATCCCAAGAGCTTCAAGATGAAATCAAGAAAAAGGGCTGGGCACTCAGATTAGGGGCCAAAAGGGGCTAAAAGTCTTTTTCCGATAACTCTTTAACAGTCAATATTTTGTGATACATTACTGAAGCAAAAATGTTTATCTCAACAATCTACAACTGTATATTATGATTTTAATGTCATATATTACATAATTAGGGGCCAAAGGGGCCAGAAGGCTAAATCTTTGACGCTTTATATCTTGAAAGTGAGAAATATTTTGACAAGTTATATTGAACAAAAGATGTTCAAAATCATGTTCTGAACAATATGCAACCTTCCATTTTTCGCTAAACGTCCCCATTAGGGAGTTGAAGGGTTGGCCCCTAAATATTTCTTATGCAAATAACTCGAAAACGAAAAAGAATCTCTGAATAGTTGTTGAACAAAAAGTGTTTAAAATCCCAAGAGCTTCAAAATGAGATCAAGAAAAAGGGGCTGGGCAGTGAAATTAGGGGCCAAAAGGGGCTAAAAGTCTTTTTTCGATTACTCTTTAACAGGTAATATTTTGTGATACATTACTGAAGCAAAAATGTTTATCTCATCAATCTACAACTGTGTATTATGATTTTAATGTCGTATATTACATAATTAGGGGTCAAAAGGGGCCAGAATGCTAAATCTTTGACGCTTTATATCTGGAAAATCTGAAATATATTGGTAAGTAATATTGAACAAAAGATGTTCAAAATAATGTTCTGAACAATATGCAACCTTTCATTTTTCGCTAACGTCCCCATTAAGGAGTTGAAGGGCTGGCCCCTAAATATTTCTTATGCGAATAACTCAAAAACGAAAAGGAATCTCTGAATAATCGTTGAACAAAAAGTCATCAAAATCATGAGAGCTTTCAGATGATATGAAGAAAAAGGGCTGATCCCTAATGTTTGGGGCCGTGAGGAGCCAAAAGTCGATTTCAACGGAAGACCCTTCTATTATTCTTCGGTTTCTTTTTCACTTTTATTAAGGTCTTCCGTCTTCAGCGGAAGACCTTCTTCTTATTCTTAGGTTTCTTTTCCACTTTTATTATTCTTTTTTTTCTTACCGATTTTGTGCACGCGATTTCTCAAAAACGGCTCGATGGATTTCCATGAAACTTTCAGGACTTATTTTACATTACTTGAACCTTATGCATTTTTTTCCGATTCGATGACGTCACTTCCGGTTTGGAGATATTGCCGATTTTATGATTTTTGAAAGGTCAGTTTGTCCGCAGACTTTCTCAATAATGGCTCAAGATAGAAACATGAAACTTTCAGGTATGATAACCCAAAGTCTGTAGATATGTATAACGTATTTCATTTTAATCGGAAGTGCCGCACGTCGGCGCTCGCTATGGTCCGAAAATAGTCGTATCGCGAATTTCAAAATTTTTAACACTTTTTCTACGAAATCTTTTTACCTTGAAATATTTTGTGAATACATATAGAACAAAAGAAGTGTAGAATTCCAAGATCTTTCAAATAATATCTCGGAAAAAGGGCTAGCCCCTAAAATTAGGGGCTCACAGGGGCCGAACGATTTTTCTTTATATCTCAAAAAGTATTGAGAATTTGTAATACATCAAAGAAGCAAAGTTGTTCAAAATGTCAAGCTTTATCTAATGGTTTCGTCAAAATACGTCCAGCGACGTCACTTCCGGTCAAACCGGAAGTGTTCCAAAATTGAATATTTTTGCCGTTTTTGACAGGTTTGGGGGTTACAAATGTCACTGGAAGTTTAAAACGTAATTTTCCGTCCGTCGACGTCACTCCCGGTCAAACCGGAAGTAGCCTGAAATAGCTTCTTTTGAAGGTTTTGATGCACAATTGAAATTATAAAGTCACTGGAGACTACTGAGCTCATTGCTTTCTTTGTTGACGTCACTTCCGGTACTTCCGGTCAAAACCGGACGGAAGACCTTCTCGTTGCTTTGCAACGAGCTCGGCTCTAGTTATTATTATTATTATTAAGGTCTTCCGTCTTCAGCGGAAGACCTTCTTGTTATTCGTTTGTTTCTTTTCCACTGTTTTTCTTATTATTTTTTTTCTCTCCGATTTTGTGCACACGATTTCTCAAAAACGGTTGGTTATATTTTTATGAAACTTTCAGGTCTGATAGAACATAAAAGAAACTTGATGCATTTTTTTTCGTTTTGATGACGTCACTTCCGGTTCGAAGATTTTCGCAATTTTGTGATTTTTAAGGCTCATTTTGTCCGTCGCTCTTCTTAAAAACCGCTCACCACAGCAAGATGAAACCTTTTCTGGAAGATAGAGCAACAAATGTAGATTTGCATTGTGTTGTTAACTTTTACCGGAAGTACTGCACGTTAACGCTTGGTATGGTCTGAAAAAAGTCATATTGAGCGTTTCAAAATTTCTTACACTTTTTCTATTATATCGTTTTACTTGTAAATATTTTGTTAAAACATATAGAACAAAAATTGTGAAGAATTCTAAGATCTTTCAAATGATATCTCGAAAAAAGGGCTGACCCCTAAAATTAGGGATCTAAAGGGGCCAAAAGTTTTTACTTGATATCTCGAAAAGTATTGAGAATTTGTAATACTTCAAAGAAGCAAAGTTGTTTAAAATGACCAGCTTAATCTACTTGAGTCGTCAAAATACGTCCGGCGTCGTCACTTCCGGCCAAACCAGAAGTAGTCAAAAACGCAGGTTTTCGCCGTTCTTGTCAAGTTTTTTGGGTAACATATGTCTCTGGGAGCATAAAAATTAATTTTCCGTGCGTCGTCGTCACTTTCGGTTAAACCGGAAGTAGCAAAAATTCCGTATTTTTTGCATTAATTAACATAGGTTTAGAGGATTCAAACCATTTAGGGCGTCATTTCTCATTTTTGTTGAAAATGAAAGCTACTTCCGGTGAAACAGGACGGAAGACCTAATCGTTGCTTTGCAACGAGCTTTGCTCTAGTTATTATTATTATTTTTCTATTTTTTCCTTACCGATTTTGTGCAGAAGATTTCTTAGAGATGGCTCGATCGATTTCGTTCAAATTTTCAGAGTTTATGTGTTCCTATCTGAAGTTTGTACCGGCACTTCGATTTTGAAAAAATCACTTCCGGTCGGAAGTTATCGCCCTTTGATCAAAATTTAGATGACCTTCATGTCTGTGATGGAAATCAAAAACGGCTCAAGATAGAATGTTGAAAATTTCAGGGATGATAGAGGACATGTTGCCATATTGCACCTGGGTCAGGATATTTTCCGGAAGTGCCTAGTATGGAAGCTCGGTAGGGGTCAAAATTTAGGACACGAATCATGACTGATTTTTGAGACATTTTGCATTGTATCTTTTTAAGTATAATTATTTTGTTAAAACATAATGAGCAATATTTGTGCAGAACTACAAGATCTTTCATATGATATCAAGAAAAAAGTGCTGACTCATCACATTAAGGGCTGAAAGGGGCCAAAACTCTTTATCCAATAACTTTCTAGCAGTCAATATTTTGTTATACATTATTGATGCAAAAATGTTTATCTCAACAATCTTCAACTATATATTATGATTTTTATGTTGTATGGTACATAATTAGGGGCCAAAAGGGGCCAGAATGCTAAATCTTCGATGCTTTATATCTCGAAAGAGAGAAATATTTTGATAAGTAATATTGAACAAAAGATGTTCAAAATAATGT